GAAAGTGGTCAATATCGGGGTGGTTTTTTGGACAGTGGCCAAATTATAGGACCAATTTTGAAATTTTCCCCTTTCACAAGTCTTAGATCAGGACTGCTCTGATATCATCTTAGAGAAATGAGAGGTGCATAGCAAAGACAGTCATTACATGTCCTTTCACAAGTAGATCAGGCTTGCTTTGATACCATGTTAGAGAAATGATAGGTGCACTTTAGTGACGTTCTATTCCTAAATTAACTGATGATGAGGGGAGTAACCCACTAAACTTATAAAGTGGGCTCGTTTTTCTTATAAATTAATGTGGGACAACTCACAAGACATTTTAATATGTCCCTTCACTTGTGAGTCCTTCTCTGACTGTCATCCCAGATTAGGCTTAATGTGGGACAAACCACAAGTGATATTCCAACACGTCCCCTCACTTATGATTCGTTCTCTAATCGACGTCGCATACCATGCTTGGTTAGCATAGAGAGTATTCACATGTCCTAGAGCAGGTCAGCTCTAATACCATGACCTCTCACTTGTGAGTCGTTCTCTAACTGACGTGCCAGATCAGGCTCGGTTAGCAGAGAGAGTAATCGCATGTCCTTTCCTAGGTTATAGATCAGATGTGCTCTGATACCATGTAAGAGTAAGATTCGGGGAAAGAGGGGGCTGTCCCATAAAGGTGAAGCGCACCATAAGACGGTGAACCTAGGAATTCTATCCCAAAATCATTGGTGAGGGGAGGAGAAACTCACTAGGATTATAAATTAGGCTCATTTTCCCTATATAATCAATGTGTGACAACTCACAAGTGATATTACAATATATTACATATAAAAATTTTTATCATGAAAAGACAAAATTATCCCTAATATCACGATATTTTTCCAAATTATAATTTAATCACGACATTTTCGTTTTTACAAATTATATCACAATCTTCAGCTTGTTGCAAATCGGTGCACAAGTTCTGAAAACTAGCCCTAGAAAATAGACATGGCCACGGGTCAACCGCCCGCCGGCCCAGCACGGGCCCGGCTCGGATTTCAATCGGGCCGGTTCAGGGCCTTCTTTTTGTCGAAACTGGCCCTTCGGGCCGGGCCGGGTCGTGTCGGGCACGGAAAAACCAAGTTATTTCTGAATTTTTATTATTTTTTCTTTTTTTTTTTCATACAGGCGGGTCCAGATCCGAGCCGGGCCCGGTCCGCCGGGCCATGGACCCGGCACGACCTAGGTCCGTGCCGGTTCAGGGTCGTGATAACCCAACCCTCAGGCCCGCCGGTCCGGGCCCGAACCCGGCCCGTCATTTGGCCATGTCTACTAGAAAAGTTGATGTGGTCAAAGAACAAACTGAAAATTGTGAAATAATTTGCACGATTATGCAAATTGATGCACCGATATGCAACAAACTGAAGGTTATGACATAATTTACAAATGTGAAAAGATTGTGATTAAATTGTAATTTAAAAAAAATAAGGTCGTTATACTATGGGCAATTTTGCCTCGAGAAAATTAGCATTTCATTATTTTTTTTTAAATTGAAAATTACTTGTAGAGGTGCTACAATCACAAAAGGCTCCACATTTCCAGAGGAAAAATTGATCAGCAGCAGCCTTGCAGATTTTAGCCCTTTAAACAAATGTGACAAGCAACTAATCTCCACACAAACATAGACAGCCATATCTCCTAAACATCATGGGCCGAACACCAAACAAATTGGATCAGAGAGTAAACTAATGGGTCTTCTCGCAAAAGCCCATCTCTAATCAAATCCATATAAAAACGTCGCTCCCCTAACCCTGCCTCCCTCACACCAAAACCCTAGCCAGCCATCTCCGCCGCGAAGATGCAGATCTTCGTAAAAACCCTCACCGGCAAGACCATAACCCTCGAAGTTGAGTCCTCGGACACCATCGACAATGTGAAGGCCAAGATCCAGGATAAGGAGGGCATCCCGCCGGACCAGCAGCGCCTCATCTTCGCCGGGAAGCAGCTCGAGGACGGCCGCACGCTCGCCGACTACAACATCCAGAAGGAGTCCACCCTCCATCTCGTCCTCCGCCTCCGTGGTGGCGCCAAGAAGCGCAAGAAGAAGACCTACACCAAGCCCAAGAAGATCAAGCACAAGAAGAAGAAGGTCAAGCTCGCCGTTCTCCAGTTCTACAAGGTGGATGACTCCGGCAAGGTGCAGCGGCTGAGGAAGGAGTGCCCCAACGCCGAGTGCGGCGCCGGGACCTTCATGGCCAACCACTTCGACAGGCACTACTGCGGTAAGTGTGGCCTCACCTATGTCTACAACAAGGCCGGCGGCGATTGAGGTTTGCTAGCTTGTCTGATTGAGATTGGTTCGAGTGTCATAATGTTGACTCTGTCATTTGGATGTCTTTGCTATTATCTAGTTACTTTGTTTTGAACCTGCTATATTTGAGTGATCTTTGAGACAAGGAATTTTATATTACTCAGCTAAAGTTTGAAGCTTTGAATGATGATTATTCTCTTGGGTTTCTTGTTTTGATTATTTTTATGAATGTTGGGATTATTGTGGTCTGTGGAGAACTGTTAATATTGTATGACAGTTCAAATTGATTCCATTTCAATAGGAGAGGTTTTCAGTTGAAAGATTTAGGAATTCAGGGCTTCAAATTACGCAGATTAATCTGCATTGGGGATTTGAACTTATCAGTTTATTGTTGGATATTGGTAGTGTTGTGAAGAAACCTGTAGGCATCATTGGTACTGTCATTCAGTGTCAGTGTCTGGTCCATGTATTTAGAATCACTAAAGCTGGTGTTCAACATACTTCATCAAACAACACAAACATAATTATGACATTTTATAGCATGAGCATGCGTTTATGTTAACAATTAAAAAGGGTCTGCTCGCCTAATAGTTTAGCAGCCTCACACAAGAATTTGTGTTTTAGAAATGGTTTCAATTGAGAAGATTCAACTAATCGAGAATAACTGTCGTTTTGAGGATGTTTTGTTTACATGACATAACAAACATTTGAAGTGCAACTTGTTGTAGTTTGACCATTAGTAGGCTCAATCCTATGTGGGTAGTTTTCTGTGGTAATTTCTTTTACTGAATAAGAACAGGAAGATGGCATGAATTTTGTTTTGTTTGATGTTTCTTTCCAAGTTCTTATTGTTCCAAGGGATTATGTGGAAAGGGCTGATGCCATGAGTAATAGGAAGTTTTTTTTAAAAGCTCCTACTATAACAGTGGAAGGATCAAATCTAATTTTGTTTTACAATTAGTTGATGTATGCTCTTGTCTAAAGGGCATTGTGGCTGAAATTGAACTCTCCTGGACTGTACTAGACAGTGTTATAATTGTTATAACTTATAATTGGCAGCTCCTAGGAAAACAGGATAGGTGGTTTTATTGGGGTGTCTTTGTTTTTTGTTTGAGGTTAATTTCACGACGGGCATCGGCCAATCTTAGTTTTGCTTATTTTGTGGCCTAATTAATGTATCTATATGAAGTCTAGTTGTCTCCATGGAGAAAAATCAAGTCACTAGCATGTGCCTTTCACGAGCTCACCTAAGCTCGAACAATTTCACATAATGTTCAAATGAGCAGGGGTTAAAAGTTGTTAAAATGTGACAAAGATCTTACTTTTTTGTGGTGGTTATCAGTTAAATAGAGAACTTTTAAACTTCATAGGTTTTAAATGTAGCAGATTAGTGGAAACATGATTGGGTAATGCTACATAGCCAATTTGAATGACAACTTGGGTTAAAGTGTAAATACAATATTTTTTGACATTTGATAATACATTTACACTTGGGTTGTAACTCAAGTTGTCATCCAAGTAGGCTACAGAAATTAGCTAAATCAAATCCTCCCACACCAATATGTTGTCTTGTATGCCATTCTTCAAGTTTGTTTGCTTTTTTCTTTTCGGATGTAGCCCTCAACCATCATCAGCACTTAGCCTCTGAAGCCCTTTCTCGCTCTCATATGCCTACCAATTCAAGTTTGTTCACTTTCTCAACCATTTCAGTGTCTATTTACCGGTCGTTTTGATATACTTTGCTTAAGATGATGATTAAAATGAAAATTTGCCACAAAAGTGGTGATATAAGTTGGTCAAGAATGACCAATTAAAATGAAAATTCCTAGGTTGTAATATTTCGAGCAATTTTGTCAAAGTAAATTGTCTATCCACTTTAAGCGACAAAAANNNTTCCCCTATTCCGGTCGTCCCTGGTGTTGAGACGATGCGGTCCTCCGGCGGCGGCGTTGTTGCGCGGTGGCTCCGGTGTATGCGTGGGGGAGGCTGTGGTGTGGTCGGCCTGGGTGAGTATTCGAAGATCTGGGAGCTTCCGACTGTGATGTCTGGGTTGCTTCCTCGATTTTCGGAGTCGGATTTTCGCTTGGTTTGGTAGGCGATGGGTCTTCCCGGCTGGTGGGGAGGGCTTTAATTTTAGTTAGTTTTCTGTGTGTTTTGTTAGTTTCGTATTTTTTGTGTTTTTATAGTGTAATGGTTTTTAGGTTTTGTATGTTTATCTCCCACTGGGGAGTTTGTTTCTCCCGCAGGGGAGTCTTTTTCTCCCGTAGGGGAGTTCCTTCTCCTTTTGTGGAGTTTGTTGGTGTGATTGTTATCGTGTTGGTTTTAGGCAATCCTCTGAATCTGTCCTCTCACTAGATTCGGCTTGTGGGCTGTTCTATCGGCTTTTGAGCCGTGTCTGGATGTACGTTTCTGGTTATCAATGAAATTTCTATCGTTTGAAAAAAAAAAAAAAAAAAAAAAAAGGACTAATACGTCTTTACGTCTTTTGAAAGGTCCAACAAATTATTGAGTTGCCCGTCCAATCTTCTCATATTCTTTCTTGCTCACACGACATAGTATATTCATCCAACAGAAAACACAATTCTCATCTCTCTCTCAGTTCCAATTGTTTATGAGTTATCAAATTTAAAAGGTCTCTTTTATTATCATTATTTCTTTTCCATTTTTGGTCCCTCACTCACTCTCCCTTAAAGTGGGCACGCAAGAGAAAACAATGGACACATCAATATCTTGGAGCGAAACTGACGAAGATAAGAAGCTTGTGTCCACGTAAAAACCCGAATGAATTTTATAAACTAACAGCCCTCAAAAATCATAATGTAGCTCTCAAAACATCACCTCTGTAGCTGTTATCGTGCCGAATTATTTGGCTTGGCTGCATTACCTTTTGGGACCACTCTGCGTCAAAAGCCTTAATTATTCTTCACAATCCCATCTAATCATGTTATGTTCAGATTCAAAACTAACAAAATGAACCTTTCGTACACAAGTAGGGCACAAAAAGACGAGATTGTAGGAATAGGAGGACAAAAACTTGCATGGCTATCCCAGTAACTTTTATCTATATATATATATATATATAATTATTGTCTGATTCATTTAACAAAACATTTAATAAAATTTATTTTCATTTCTCTCCAAAAGGAGTTACATTTTTTTTTAATTAATTACTCACTAATCTGCTAAAATCGTTACACCTTAATATATATTTTTATTATTTATTTTTTGGATCAGTTACTAAATTAATTTTAAATTTGATAGTAAAATATTCATATTACTAATGTAAACGTTGCATGGTTAAAATAAAATTTAAATCTCAATTAATTTTTGAATGATAAAAATAACTTAAGAAAAAGTAATAATTTTTATATGATAGAAATGCATGTTTAATTAATAAATACAAACAAAAACGTGTTTTATATCTGTGAATAATTGTTTGAATTATTGGCATGAGATCTTCCATATCCTCTCAATCTCAAATTAAATGCTTAACTATGTGTTGTTTAATAAATCGGATAATTACTATCAGGAGATTTGCTGTATCTTCTCCCATTAAATATGCTTAATAACCATGATGAAACAATTCAAATAGTCAACTATTTTGAAAGATGATACCAGGATTCATATTAGGATCAATGTATATCCATTTGGAATTTCGAGTGACATTTTGAAATTTTTTTTAGATTTTAGATTCTTTAATGTTTTCAAATTTTGGGATAAGGCTTTTTTTAAAAAAAAAAAATCACAACAAATCTTAAAAAGTATTAACAAATCATAATCTCAAATAAGTTAAATACAATATAAAACATCTCAAATGAATATCCCAAATGAATACCCCAATACATCAGGATTTCTAAAACGTCTTAGAAATCCCAAATGAATACACCTTTCGGATAAATCAATTTCGACACAAACCAATATACATGTTTAAGCATGACCAATCAAACCAATTCACACACAGAGCAAAGTAAAGAGCAGTCTTGATTAAAAACCCCATCCCAAAAGCCATTTTATACATAGCTAGGAGTGGAAAAGGAGAATGCTTGAGACCATGAAAATAATCAGAAACAACATTTTAACAACACGAACACCATGTTCGAAAGACTTCAACATCATCTAATCATATTTCGCCTACCGAGACAACATAGACTCAGAAAAACACAAACTCGAATTCTAAACAAACAACTTTTAGAAGAACCAAGAATAATCAAGAATCTTCTCACCTTAGCATTCCTCAGCAAGGATCGCGAATCGCCTGCATCGGGCAAGGCAATTTCCACGGCTCGAGCACTGAATCAGAAGAAGGAATATCCGGAACATCAAGTGCCATCCCACTCACCTCAGATGCGATTTGAATCACGGAATTAAGCGATCTCAGGCGTTCGGTAAGCTCGACTGCCCGAGCCCTTAGCACATTGTTCTCGGATGCAAAACCGAGGTATAATTGGGAGGACCCATTGATCATTTGCATCATTTTTTTATTCTCCTCCTCTAATTGCGTCACTTGCTCCATGAGCTCGACTAGCTTTTGCTGCTTCCTCATTCGAGACCTGCGTGCAGATTCGCGGTTCGATTGCTTTCTCTTTCTCTTCCTCTCGTCCTCCATTTTTCAAGTTGGGGGGTTTTTTCGATTTATTTATTGAAGATTATTAATATTATATATTATTAGGGAAAAAAGGCGGGGGAATTTCAGAGGGTGGCCGCCGGAGGTGCTAATTCAGAGAAAACATAGAACCAGTAAAGGAATACTACGGAGAAAGAGTGGATAACCCTAATTCGGAACATCAGAAGAGCATATGCCATGGAAATCGAAGGGTTGTAAAATACATATTCTCTCAAAGACGCGGCGGATTAGGGAACTCCGGTGGGATGAAACGGATCTGCAGATTAAAAAAAAACAGGGCGAAAAACGCAAATTTGTCAGCCGATCGATCAATAACGTATCAAACGAGTGATCAAAAATCGAGAGACAATAAAACAGGGGAAAAATCTGGAAAAAAAAAAAATAAAATGAATTACAACAAGAGCAATCAATGATGAATCAACATGACTGAATCAAAATATAAAGAAACACAAACGAAAATTTTGAATAACATTGCAGTAAATAAGGAAAAAAATACAGAGAAAATAAATGCTCTAAAAGGAAAAAAGGGTAAATGAGAATTGACCTGTAGCTGTAGTATAGCGGACAANTGATAGTTGGAAAAATGAAATAAAAAGGTAAAAACAAAATAAATTTAAAGGGAATTTGTTATGTAAATATATAGAAATAAATATGTAATAATTATAATCACATATTAATTATAATCGATGTGATAAGATTATAAAATATAAATAATATCAATTGACAGTTAGAAGCTAGAGCGTAGCCAAAAAAAAATAAAAATGAAAAAATCATATTGCGTTGATCGATATGAACATAGATATATTACATAATTTAATATTTAAAAATAAAAAAAAAAGCTAAACAATTTTAGTTATGAAATACATGTAAAATACCCCATACATTTAAAAAAAATGAATAAAAGGCTATATATTTAAGATGTGCACTTTGATTCTTCATACTTTAGAACTCATCTATCATTGAGGCTGTGTCGATCTTTGTATAGTTATGGAATTCTTCTTCCATCGTCTTTCGAATATGAATTTTAAGAAGTTCATTGTAAAAAATGGAAGCGTCAAAATGAGTCGAATCATTATGTCAATCAAATGGTAGTGTCGGCGTTCTCTGTCTCAAATAATCGCCGACATAAATCAGAAATGGTATAAATACTTTGGAATCTTTTGTCGTGGACAACATCAAACTTGTAATAATCAAATTGACTCCTCAAATAGTGTAGCTCTTGTCCACTGAAACCACTGGTATAATTTCTCGACAATATTATAAGTATTATCCCTATTAAACAACTTAAAGTTGTCTCGAGGCTCCAGTGCAGAGTTAATCCTAAAAAGTTCTACAATCCCATTTTTATATTTGTTATTAAACTCTTCAACTTGAAAATCAATCTTAACATTAAATACGTCAAATGGTAATGTCGCAAGTTGTCTCGAGTCTCCAATGCAAAGCTGTCTAAGAATTTCTACAATCCCATCTTTAAATTTGTTATTAGGTTCTTCAACTTGAAAAACGATCTTAGCATTAAATACGTCAAAGTGGTAATATCGCCCAACTGTAGTAGGAGACTTCTGTTGGCACGATTGCCCCCTACGAGATCAATGACAAGCAATCATAATCGGTATCCCAATACCATTATTTTCACTAAATGGTAACTCATAGGTAAGAAGAGTATCAAAACTTAAGAAGAATCAAAGCCTTCTTCTCCCAACATATAAAACAAAGATTTTGTAGTTGACACAAAATTTAATGCATTTTAAATATCCAAAGTCTTCTTCTGCAAATTCGTAATCGTCATTATCTTGTGCATCACATATAAGATAGATATGAAATCCAAATGATCAACTTATAAATATAAACTAGCAATTTGTCTGCCAAGTCACTATGTTCGAGAAGAAAGAATCATAATATTCACTGTATTTTTATATAATATACATAATATAAAAATATCTTTTAAATACAATAATGTGAAATCTATGTGTTTTTAAAACTATAAATTGAAGATAGGGTACAATTTATTATTAATAAAATCTATATAAATTAGAATATACAATATATATATATATATATATATATTTATCTTTTTTGATAAAATAACATTAATATTTTAATGTATTTATCTTTATAAGGTCTGAAAATTTATGCTAAAAGAATACAAAATGGGGTAAACAACTTCCAAACATCATGCATACAATATTAAATAAGTAACTATTGTTTTATCGAGCTATGGTATGAATTATTCAATCATCAAACAAAATAAAAATAGTCACAACACATAGTTTATTCATATAAATAATAATTCTTACATTTCTAAAATTGAAAATATATTAATATGTCTTGACAAAACAAAATAAAATTGAATAAATAATTATAATTGAAAATAAGATGTTATCTTATTTTACTATATTACAAAGTACATATATTAATTTTAAAAGTCATAATAGAGCATAATAAAGTAACATCGACATGTATTATTTCAAATTGCTAAAATTGCGTACAAAATTACGAAGCATCTTAAGTACAATTATAAACCACTCACCTACCAAGTCACTTTAGACTGATCGGCTAATTCGATGCCCGTAGGCATCTTAAGTACAATTATAAACCACTCACCTACCAAGTCACTTTAGACTGATCGGCTAATTCGATGCTGCCCCTACGGGCATCTTCGAATTTTCCAGACTGATCATAGAGAATTATATATTTATATTGTTGATAAATGGATTAAATCAACGTAATTAAGATAAAAAACACAACGAGAATTGCAGAGAATATGATTTTTATTGGATTTTTTGAGGTTGGTTACAATTTCGATTAAGTCGGTATTTTGATACAGGTGGTCGGAAACAGAGAACCGAGGTAATAAATGAGTGAATTTAATGCGTCCAAAAAAGAACCCTCGTACTGTCTTTATTGCTACTATTTATAGTTATGTTCGGCACACCTCCCAAAATAAATCAGCTTTATTTAATGTGGATTTGACGGCTTAGGGGCGGCTATGACGTTTGCATGCTTTTTAGACAATAATGAGTATGGACGCTCCTCTATTTGTGTGACAAGCGTCACTTCTGTCGGGCTGAAGTCGGTTTCTCCACGACATCGGCTTTTCTATGGACTTTTAGTTTTCTATGACCTTCAATAGACTATTCTTGAACCGAGTTCCTAATACCGAGGTATTAGTGTTCTGTATTGATGATCTTTAGGGCCACTATCTGTCTTGAAAAACGAGGTGGCCATTCCGAGATGCTGAGCCGACGCCGAGTTTGATGCCAAAGAACTGTTTTGCTATTCGATCTTCATGATTTTTTATTCTGATATCAACATATACATAGAGAAATCTTTTTGTTACTTTTTAAACTTACAACAAATTTAGGTGATGATTGGTTATATATATATATATATTGGTTTAATTAGATAAAGTGAGTTAATTTTGAAGACAGTCAATTGAGTGAAATTTTGAATTTTTATTTAAATAGTATTTAAAATATAATAATTAAAGTTTATGTGATGTGAAAATGGATGAGGCGTTATTGAAAATGATAGGTGTTGAGAGCGGTCGTTAACGAGTTGTTTAGGTATTAAATTGAAGGAATAAAGTGGTGATTATATGGTGAATAAGTACGTAATGTTAAGAGCGTAAATTTAAGCTAAGAATATGAAAAATAAAGGAATTTTTGTATTATGAATGTAGTGCTGGGTGCTTATTATGACAATGATATTATATATGAAGATTAATAATATTTAGATAAAATTACCAATAAAAATAAATATTATTAATTTTTTACATAATATTCTTAACAAATAGTATTTTATACTTTTATTTTATTAACCTTTAGAATTACAAAAAAAAATAATTAATTAGTTTTATCATTGTGTTTTTGATTAAAAAGTATTTAAAAAAAGACAACAATATATGATGATTCTATTGTTAATGATATGATGTAAAGAAAAGAATAAGAAATTCAAAATTTATCAAAATATAAGATTCAAATATAAAAATATAACTAGATGCAATAATTATTAACGTTTATAAATTTTCAAAAGAAAGTTGCTAAATTGATTATGCAAAATTGGCCAACTTACAAAATTGGTCCCAAAGTTGCAAATTAAGTTTCATTTCGACTAACAATTTGGCTAACAATAACATCAAAATTACAACAAGAAAAGATATAGGACCATTTTCACATTGGGTGGGACCAAATTTTGGGCAAAAATTTAAAATTAATCCAATAATTTGGTTAAGGTCTAATTTTTCATTCCGTCACTGACCACTTTCAAACTGGGTCAATAATATGCCAATTTAATCAAATTTTGTCCCTTTCTCACATACCTTGGATACAAACGTGACATGGTGTTTTTAAATTTGACATGACGTGATTGCAATTTATGTGACAGGATTATGAAATGTTGACTTTAAAATTAGATGATTCGCATCAGCTCTAAAACTTAGTTGCAATTAACTAAAATTTTTGAAATTGCAAAGTAGACCATAAAACTTATTATATTTTAAAAAACGAGCCACTGCAATCCAAAACTCGTCTTCACCCATCCACCTTCGCAACTGTCGTTTGTTGGCCGCCGATCGACCACCTATGAATGGAATTATTTATACTTCATCTTGAAACTCTTCTCGTCCTTGTTCACCTCCCAAAATCTCTGGTGAAAGTTCCACCAGTAAGATCGTCAATTGCTTACTATGGTAAAAGTTTTTAGATCTAGAAAATTTCAGTCAAAATTCGGTCTTCTTCTTCAATTTCTTGGCGATTCACGATGACCCACCGAAATTCAAGGACACCTATGGACTTTCAGGCCGCCGCGCACCTGACGACGTCCACCATCTCCAAAATCGACAAATTTTTTCAGCGATCCATTTTTTCCAACTGTAGAGGTATCGAGGAGAACAAATCGATGGTTAAGGCGAAGAAGAAATTCATTTTTCGGCAATTGAACTTGAAAATGGAAAACAAAAGCATGAAGATTTTCCTAAAAAGATCATAAATTTGTGATTTTTTGGGAAAACGAGAAAAAGGGCAGAAGAGAAAAATGGAAAACAGAGTCGAAAAATTGAGCCTCTGTTTTCCAACAGATTAACGATGTCGGAATCATTCTCCCACATCCCATTGGACCCGTCTCAGTCCCCGATTTTGACGCTCTTCGGCGGCGGCAACGTTATGTACAATATTCCACGATGCCATCTCAGTCAACGCCTCCACCACCCTCTTCACCATTGCCCCATGGCATGTGTCGCCGCGAACAAGGTCACCGCCTTCTAGAGCTTCAATTTCTTCTCCTTTTCTTCCAAATTGCTCGAAGCTTCAGTACCGTGATCTCTCTCAAAATTATTCCGTTGGGGAAATTCCGAAGAACATTGACCAACTCCAATCACTCCCCCACTTCGATATGTCGGCGTACAACTTCATCGTCGACATACCTCCAGAGGTCTGGAACTTAACGGATATGAGAACTCTGAATCTCTACATTAACCTGTATTTAATAATTCAATTAATTTTTTGTTTTAACTTATAAATTTTGATTTTTTGATTTTCACTTGGGTTATAATTAATTTCACGTGAATTATTAAATATAAATAAACTCGCCAATCATGTCATGTCAAATAAAAAATTGCACATTACGTCTCATCACATTTTTATCCACGGTCTGGATT